GCCCTTTGAAGTGCCAACCTCTGTTGATTGGGGCGCAACCCGTCAAGAGGAACGGTGGATGAAGGTCTAGCTGATCAGGGCGAGCTAGCTAGGAAGTAACCTTATCACGCAGCTTGGAAGAAGCAGGAGTCACGACTCGTGCCTCATCGGATGGAGGCACTTATGACAGTTGAGGGGCTTTCGTTGCCGTAGTCCCAGTCTCCTCCACAGGAAAGAAAGTTGTCGAACGACGACATCTGCAAAATAGAGAGAGAGAGAGAGAGAGAGAAGAGAGAGAGAGAGAGAGAGGAGAGAGAGAGAGAGAGAGAGAGAGAGATTTCAGAAAAAACGTGATAGGCAATACGGAAGATAAAAACAACTGAAGGAGGAAGATAAACCTTGCCACATAAACTTTGAAGTCTCAGCGAAATGATGAAACAAAAGGAGTTACAGAAACCTTTTCTAAGCATAAAGAACAAAAACAATGGAAGATGACAACCCAAACCAAAGGACCATATTTATAGGTGGAAAGGGAAGCCGATCGTTCACCATTCCCAAAAGTCATCATTACCACCATTTCATTGTGCCTGCAGAAGAGATACAAACGCTTTCTCGCCTCCCAATGCCATCATTTCCAATGCAGTTGTACGCTTGGGGAAGGCACACAGGCAGATTTCCATTAATGCGCCATCAAAAGGTCAAGCGGAAAGACCCCAGAGTGACTAAACGACGTAGACGAAAAGGTGTCAGATGGACGTATCACAAGGAGATGTTAGGTTTGACAAGATAGCCAAAGCTTGCCTAACAAAACCAGGCACCGCAACTCACACTTCATCTGACGCTAGATGGGTAGAGAAGAGTTTTTGAAGCCGGCTCCAACCTCTAAAAACTAGGACGGTTTAATGTTTTGCATAATTTTCTGATGGTCATATTTGTGCCACCTATATATAAACCATACTGAGATCTAGCAATCAGAATTGTCCCACGTGTTGCGCCCACAACAAAGGACTTAACCAATAAGCTCATTAGTATTAAGCATGGGTGTTCTGACTTAAGCATGGGTAAGGGTTGACTCAGATCCAGATTACGAGGGATTATGCGTGTAATCCACCTTGTAACACCAACTCCCAACCACTATTAGACGGTGTGTATAAAAGGAAGGCACCACCTCCGTTTTGGGGGATCCTAGATTGAATACACTCAAGCATAAGGAACCATTTAGAGAGAGCATCAACTCGCTATCATGTATTTTCTCCTACAATAATCTTGTGTGTAATTCAGATACAAGCAATAAGATACAATAGACGTAGGCTGGGTTCTAACTTGCCAAACCACTTTAAAAATCTCTTATCTATTCCCATTGTGGATATTCGAATGCATTCTAAGTTGATTATTTATAATCACACCCATAGCCTACCCAGTCCCGCCATGGTCGATTGGGTATCTGTAGTCGTTGCAAGTTTTCGTAACAAGTTCTTACCCCATGAGCCATCTCCATTAATAAACACCGATGCTAATATTCAACACTAATATTGTAAAGTCAAATCCAAAGTTGAGAGTGTGAATTACGTTGATCCTCTTTAGAGGGAAGAAAATATGATAGTACCTTTTTGTTATTGGCATGATGATTCCAAAGGGATTGAAGAGCAAGACTTAATTATTCAAGCTTCATTGGGTTGTGATCCTTTGTGTAAAAGAAGAGCAGTTTTGCATTTAGCCTTTTTTTTTTTTTTTCATAAATGTCTTTGTTAATCTTAACACAATTAAATTCTCTTTTAAAGGTGGGGATTGTCAATTGACTGAGATTAACACTAAGGTACTCAAAAGTTTTTGACAATAGACGAGAAGGTTCTAAGTTAAGGAAAAGAAGTAGCAATAAGTTTGAATCTCGATGGTGGCTTAGGGTAAACCATAGCATATACTTCACAGAGAAAACATTTGCCACAATAGAAAGGAAGATTATAATCTAGAGAAAAACAAGAGGAAGCCACCCCATCAAAGAAGCTTATCACAAGAATCATACAGAAGTAACTGAACTACCAACCAACGTAGTTCATAAATAATATATTTCAGTACTTAGGAGTCAGGCAACACTTGTCTAAGGTCACTAGGAGTGCACACAAACTTTTTAACTCATCATTTTACTCGTCTATGAATTATTTTTTTGGGTGTATCTTTAACATGTATACAACATCTCACATAATATTAATACATTTGTATTAAAAAAAAAAAAAATTATATAGTAGAACCTTTCTATAGTGATATTCTATATAAGAATAACCTACATGTAGTCATAAAAACTCTCGGTCCCAACTTGAACCAGTCATAAAAAAGAATAAATTTTACATTGTAATAAATTATAATTTTTCTAGGTCTCATCTGAAGGAACTTGCCTCTACATAGTAATAATTATATAAATATTGCAAAAAAATATATATACGTACTATGTTACACTAAATGTTTAAAATGAAATAAAATATTTATCTGAAGTTGTTTAGAACAATTATTTATGTTTTAGAGTTGTTACCACATCTTTTATCTTGCGGGTACATAATAAGCCATCAGTATGGACACCTTATTATTGAAGTCAAAATATTTCTAGCTCTCAAGCATATTTAAAGCTTCTTGGCATGAATTTTTTGGTATTTCCATACTACTATCCTCAAAATTATCTCATTTCTTTTATTGTCTAATTCCAGTAATGATTTCTTTTTCAATTAAAACATACACGACTAATTGCTCATTTAGATTATTGAGGAAGTTATTAATATCCATTTGATTAGTATAGTGATATTGTCGAATCTGATCACTCAATTTTACAGCGACTCTTTGATATCCATTTCCATGCTATCATAATGCTACTAAAACAATGAATTGAAATCCTAATACTACTAAAATATGAATTATAAAATAAGAAATCAAAATAATAATTCTTGTGACTACACCTCTATTAAATTATAATCTCCTTATAATAATAAATTTAACTGGTCCCAACATTATGACTATAGAGAGGTTCTGCTGCAGTTTTCAATAAATTGAAATAATAGAAATAATATTTTGTACTTGACATATATGTAAGCAATACTTTTAACAATTTTTTATTTTAACTTTATTCAAAATATTAAAATCACATATACAAACAATAATGAACTAATGTTAAAACTTAATTGAAAATTAAATACAAGTTTGGATGCCCAGTTAATCATTTGATGATTTATTGAAATATGATACCTTGATCCTGTAGTACATCTTATTACAAAGTGGTAGTAATAAGATGTTACAAATGATCCAGTTAATAATTTGTAATACATCTTATTACAAAGACACATACAAAGAGGACATATAAAAATAATCTTTATCTTTAATTTTTATGATTTCTCTTTTTTTTTTATTTTTATTTTTTTAACTGATGTTATTTTATAACTCTTTTTCTCTTTTATCTGTGTCTTTATAAAGATAGCATTTTCGTTATTGAAATAGGACGCCTTGATCCTGTAGTACATCTTATTTCAAAGTTCGCATTAATTGGCAGTACCCAAGCCATACCTGATACAGTTGTAAAATTATTGAGGCATATGCCCCACAAAAATTCTCCAATCCACTGACAATCCCGAAGCATATCCATTTTCACTAAAAACGCCGCCGTATTTCTCCGATTATATTTAACTAAAATAAGTTTATAGTTTTAATGTAATCGCCTTGATATCCACCAGCATAAACCCACTAATTCCGACCACTTTTTCAATTTTTGATTTAAAATCCTCGGTTTGACCCATTTTAAGCGCTCTTAATTCTGTCTCTTTTTGTCCACTTTTTTCTGTAATTTTTCTCCGCTTCTTTCGGTCCCGGCTATACGATGCTGTTGGTGCGTACGCTCTTATCCTACACTCTCCTCTCTTTTTCTTGTTTTTCAGCTCAATGTAGCTTGACGTAGTACAGTTGCCGTCTTCGCTACAGTAACGGTACGCTCATTTAATTTCACTTTTAAAGTTTTAATTGGCTTCAACTTTTGCGCTGTCGTTTTTGGATCTGTGTTTTTTCTGTTCTGAGATCTGAATAATCAATTCACAAACTTTGACTATATTTTGAGTTTAATTTTTTTTATCGGTTTTTTTATTGAACTTTTTAGTGTCTGTGTTGACCTTAGTAAGTCTCGTCTTCTTGCTCAGAAATTTTGAGAAATTGTTTTGAATTTCTGTTTCTTGATTATTTTGAGTGAAAATATGATTGGTATCAGGGAATTGTAGAGTTCTATTTTACTTGTTTTAATTGAAGTGCAAGTTATAACTGTAATTTTAGTTATGTATGTGTAATTGTTATGGGTTTCAGCTAGTGTTGAACTTTAAGTAGAATTTCTAATTCTTTTCAATGGAGGGGTAATTTGTATAGAATAAAACAATTACTTCTTGTGGTTCATGAGAAACCAGATGAATAAAATAAGTCCTAGTTTGACTTCCTGATATTTCCTTTGTTTATGTTTATGGTGAAGGATATTGGTAGGCTAGTTCAAGAAATTTTGATTGAGTGGCACTAAAAATTTTCAAGGTTTGAGAAAGTCGTATTATATGTCACCTGTTGCCTGTCCTTATAATTCATCTCATTTATCTGAAACCTTGAATTTCCGTACTATATTTTATTTGTAAAACTGTGTTCTCTGCAATATGATATCATAGTTGAGAAGAATTGATTTCACTTAAGATAACCTTATGCATACATGTTTTGATGCAGGGATTGTGAGATCTGTTTTTTTGGTTGGGTATTATTGACTGTTTACATAGTTGATGGGAGGAGAGATGGTTGCAGAATCTTGGTTTGGTAGTTTGCGGCGGATTTCTTGGAAGAGTGGACCGGAGACTGACAAGGCTGTGATCGGAATTTTGGCATATGAAGTGGCAAACTTGATGTCGAAGTTGGTTTGTATGTGGCATTCCTTAAGTGAAAAGGAGGTTGTTAGGTTAAGGGAAGAGATTGTGTACTCTGTTGGAGTTCAAAAGCTTGTTTCTGATGATGATGTTTATCTTATGGATCTTGCATTTAATGAGATCATTGAGAATTTTGGAAATGTGGCAAGGTCTGTGGCTCGTTTTGGCAAGAGGTGCACAGACCCTGTATATCACTGCCTTGATAATTTCCTTAACGATCCAATTCTGAATAATTTTGAATGGTTTGGGTGGGAATATAAATTGAAGAAGATGGAGAGGAAAGTTAAGAAAATGGAGAGATTTGTTGCAATTGTGATGCAGTTGTCTCAAGAGTTGGAAGTGCTGGCAGAGCTTGAGCAAACTCTTAGGAGAATGCAGGCCAACACTGAGTTAGATCGGGTGAAATTGGTTGAGTTTCAACAGAAGGTAATGTGGCAGCGTCAGGAAGTGAGAAATCTGCGTGAGATGTCTCCATGGGTTAGAACTTACGATTACACTGTCAGACTCTTGGTAAGATCGCTTTTCACATTACTGGAAAGGATAAAACATGTTTTTGGGATTAACCAAATGGCATCAATGGAAGGAAGTAATGATTGTGAACAAAGGAATACTAATTTTCTTTCTCGCAGCCAATCCTTTTCTGCTCCTTTGCAGTCTTTGGTATATCCTTCTGAGAATAATCTTTGTGGGTTCTCTTCGGCACCTCCTGGGAAGTTGGTTTTGAAATCAATTCTGACCACTCACAAGAATAAACCAAATAACAAGCTAGGACAATTCATTCATGAGTCTGATACCGTACTTGAAAAGCTTCCCCATTCAAAATCAAAACGATTGGGTCATGTTGCATCTTTTAAAGGATGTATGATGGGCGGGGCTGATTCTCCAATAGTGGAGAGTTGCAAGCCAAAAGGTGGTTCTATGAGGTTTACTAATGTTTCTATGAAAAACAATGAGAAAATGAGAAATACAAATAAGGGATCACTTTCTTGCAACAGCAAAATATTTTATAAACTCTCTCTCTTGAATTCCAAACATGGGTTGTTGAATGCCCCTCCATCAACTCTTGGTGATGCTGCATTAGCCCTCCACTATGCAAATGTTGTTATATTGATTGACAAATTAGCTTCATCTCCTCACATGATTGGCCTTGACACGAGAGATGATCTGTACAATATGTTACCCACAACTATAAAAAGTGCTCTGAGGGTGAGGCTTAAGGCATATTCTAAAACTTCACCTTCATCTGTGTATGATGCTTCCCTTGCAGCTCAATGGAATTCAGCATTGGATCAGATATTGGAATGGCTGGCTCCTCTAGCTCATAACATGACGAGGTGGCAATCAGAGCGTAGTTTTGAGAAGGAAAATGTGGTTTCCAGGTCAAATGTGCTTTTGGTGCAGACTCTCTACTTTGCAAATCGAGCAAAAACTGAAGCTGCCATTACAGAGCTTCTCGTGGGGCTGAACTATGTCTGTAGGATTGGTAGAGAACTTAATGGAAAGGCTTTGCCAGAGTTTGCTCAAAACAGGGTTTATGATGATTGTCTACCGAAGTGAAAAGACATTACTTACAGTGTATTGTAACTATGATAGATTTCCATGTCTAGTAGGAAGAATGTAACTTCATAAAACTCTACCCTGTTCAAATTGGTTGGTTGGTCCAAGTAATAGGCAACTATTCTATATGACTGCTTGTTGAAGCATCGGAACTTGGAACAGAGAAGGCTTCCCCTGTTTGTCGAGGTACTTTGTGGTTATCAACTCTTTGTATCTTATTTAGTGCAAGGCTTTGTTAGTTGTTTTGTGGTGATGCACATATTCTTTTATTTGTTTGAATAGTATACAAGTTTGGTTCCCTTTTGCCACTTCCTTGTAAATCACTTTGTAGCTTAACAGATCCCAGGAGGCATTTTTAATTTTTATATCACATTTTTAGCATGCTTATAATTTTGCGATCGAAGTGTTACACCACATATATCTGGACCTCAGCCAGTAATTGTTCCTATATGGTTATCATATAGTAATGGTCTGCAGTTTTTTATGTGAATTTGAGCTGTTTTCTTAAATCGCCTCACTGTTTTTAAATAATTGTCGCAATCTCACTGTTTATACATAATTGCCCCAATCTCTCAATATGATTTAGCAATGTATCAAGGAGCAGTAAGGAAAATGAAATTGGCGCATAAGTACGACTCTACCGTGCTGCAAAATGCAAACATCTAAATCTGCCACCTGCCCTTCATGTTTAACACATGATTGTCTATTTTCTTAGCCCATAATTCATCTATACCATTGTTGTGGAATTTGGATTACAGCTTGACCTGCTACGAATACACCCAGAACTTGACCTCTATTGTTTAACTCAGTTGTCACATTTCTGCCCCATTGAAGGATATAAAAATCCTTTGGCATGTCAGCCGAGATCAAGCATGACTGGCCAAGTTAAAATCTGTGATAACGATGATGTTAAAAATGCTGAGTGAGTTAATACCACTGATTTTCACAGAATGCCTCACTACCTCACCATATATTACACCTGTGGAAATTGCATGCCCGTTTTGGTCTGGCACTGGCAATAATAGATTTAGCTAAAAACCAATGTTTTCAAACCCGACCCATCACCTGATTGGGTGCCGGGTTGATCGGTTGAACCGGTTCGGTTGGCAGGTCGGTCCTCACTTCATCATCTTGTATATTTCTATATTAATAAATAATAAAAATTAAAACACATAAATAACAAGAAAACCCAAAGTTGCGCACACTGTCACTCACCTAACCTCTCCCGTCACCCGCAGCCTTGGCCAATCACAGCCTCCCCTTCCTTTCCCCCATCCAACCATGTCGTTAACCACTACCCTACAGCCCATCATCGATCCTACTTAATCATCGTCAACAGCCTTACCCCACTACAAACAATAGCGCCGACAACCCCACCTCCATCTAAGCGATGGTAGCCTCCACCTCCATCTTGTCGTTGCATGCCCCTACCACCACCCTATGGCACCCCGTACCTCGCCCAACCGACTTTTCTTCCCTCCCCATTGCCCATACCTTTCACAGCCTCATAACTGCCCATCCCATTTTCTTCACATTTTTTTTCCTTCAAAAATTTCATGTTTTTGAAATGCTTCGATTGATTTGTTTTGCTGTTTGAAATATTTCATAAATAAATTTCAGGTATGAAATGGAGGATTTCGGGGGTTGATTATGTGGCCGTGTGAGTTAGGAATATGGTGTTACTTTAGTGGTGTGGGTGGGGATTGTATTGATGGTCTGCTGGGGGCAGGTTACTAGTTGCTTGCGTTAATTGGTTAGGGGAAAAAAGACTGATTTTGCGGGAAGTTGATGAAAGATCATGAGCCATGAGTTTTTGTTGAGTTTAATAAATGAGTTTGAAATTAGAAGATTAAATTACTATATTTTGATGTGGGTTTTGATTTAATCTTGTTCATGTTGAGGTATGGGTTAATTAGTTGTTGTTTTAAGTTGGGTTTGATAAATTTTGGTTAGTTATTGAGTTAATTTTGAATGGTTTAAAGAATTGATAAAACCGTAAGTTGTAGAGATTTGGGGATTATACAACGTTTTCAGAATATAAAAAATCGTCGAGGACAATTGTAAAATTGATAATTTGGTACGTATAACTTTTAAAATTATTAATTCGGTATATATTTTATTATAAATTTATCAACTTTGATATTTTGAACCCATAAACTCAGAATTTTGGCTACGTCCTTGATTATTAGCATCGTTATTTTGAGCGTTACGGTATTGGGCTAACAACATAATGTTACGTGTCAAATAACACCAATAATATATCACATGCATTAACATAATATTTCAACTCAAAGGTAGAGGAGGAAAAGTAACCCGCCCGGCCAGGCCGAACTCGGCTCGCGGCGGGTTACTTATTTTTGCGGGTCGGGCCTGACCTGCCTGCCAACAAAGGCAGGTCGGGTTAGGCCTGCCAATTTTGGGGGATTGGCTGGCCCAACCCGGCCCGCCAACCCTAACCTGCCGGGTTAGGTTGCGGGTCGGGCCGGGTTATCCCTTTTTTTGATTTTGTTTTGTTTAAGTTTAATTAACTTTTCAAATGAATAATTAACAGTTTATAAATAAATGTAATTGTTTTTAGTTAACTTCTTTTCAAATATCAATAATTAAATTAAATTAATTTTTTTTTTGTTAAAATTTCAAATATTAATTCAATTTTAATACATTAAAATTGTAATATAAGAAAAATTAAATTTATTCATTTATCAAAAAATAAAAAAAGAAATTACAATAATTATTGCCTTATTAAAAACCTCACCAAGAAAAACCCAATGAGACAAAAACTTGGTAAGGAAAAAAGAGTGCAATAATTGACAATTAATTTACAAGTTACAATTTACAAAACAACTACTATGCAAATGTTTATATTGATTGACAAATTAGCTTCATCTCCTCACATGATTGGCCTTGACACGAGAGATGATCTGTACAATATGTTACCCACAACTATAAAAAGTGCTCTGAGGGCAGGCTTAAGGCATATTCTAAAACTTCACCTTCATCGTGTATATGCTTCCCTTGCAGCTCAATGGAATTCAGCATTGGATCAGATATTGAATGGCTGGCTCCTCTAGCTCATAACATGACGAGGTGGCAATCAGAGCGTAGTTTTGAGAAAGAAATGGTGTTTCCAGGTCAAATGTGCTTTTGGTGCAGACTCTCTACTTTGCAAATCGACAAAACTGAAGCTCATTACAGAGCTCTTGTGGGCTGAACTATGTCTGTAGGTTGAGTAGAACTTAATGGAAGGCTCTGCCAGAGTTTCTCAAAACAGGGTTATGATATTGTCTACACCGAAGTGAAAAGACATTACTTACAGTGTATTGTAACTATGATAGATTCCATGTCTAGTAGGAAGAATGTAACTTCATAAACCTACCCTGTTCAAATTGGTTGGTTGTCCAAGTAATAGAACTATTCTATATGACTGCTTGTTGAAGCATCGGAACTTGGAACAGAGAAGGCTTCCCCTGTTTGTCGAGGTACTTTGGTGGTTTCAACTCTTTGTATCTTATTAGTGCAAGGCTTTGTTAGTTGTTTTGTGTGATGCACATATTCTTTTATTTTTTGAATAATATACAAGTTTGGTTCCCTTTTGCCACTTCCTGTAAATCACTTTGTAGCTTAACATCCCAGGGGCATTTTTAATTTTTAAGGGCAAAGTTCGCATTAATTGGCAGTACCCAAGCCATACCTGATACAGTTGTAAAATTTTTGAGGCATATGCCCCACAAAAATTCTCCAATCCACTGACAATCCCGAAGCATATCCATTTTCACTAAAAACGCCGCCGTATTTCTCCGATTATATTTAACTAAAATAAGTTTATAGTTTTAATGTAATCGCCTTGATATCCACCAGCATAAACCCACTAATTCCGACCACTTTTTCAATTTTTGATTTAAAATCCTCGGTTTGACCCATTTTAAGCGCTCTTAATTCTGTCTCTTTTTGTCCACTTTTTTCTGTAATTTTTCTCCGCTTCTTTCGGTCCCGGCTATACGATGCTGTTGGTGCGTACGCTCTTATCCTACACTCTCCTCTCTTTTTCTTGTTTTTCAGCTCAATGTAGCTTGACGTAGTACAGTTGCCGTCTTCGCTACAGTAACGGTACGCTCATTTAATTTCACTTTTAAAGTTTTAATTGGCTTCAACTTTTGCGCTGTCGTTTTTGGATCTGTGTTTTTTCTGTTCTGAGATCTGAATAATCAATTCACAAACTTTGACTATATTTTGAGTTTAATTTTTTTTATCGGTTTTTTTATTGAACTTTTTAGTGTCTGTGTTGACCTTAGTAAGTCTCGTCTTCTTGCTCAGAAATTTTGAGAAATTGTTTTGAATTTCTGTTTCTTGATTATTTTGAGTGAAAATATGATTGGTATCAGGGAATTGTAGAGTTCTATTTTACTTGTTTTAATTGAAGTGCAAGTTATAACTGTAATTTTAGTTATGTATGTGTAATTGTTATGGGTTTCAGCTAGTGTTGAACTTTAAGTAGAATTTCTAATTCTTTTCAATGGAGGGGTAATTTGTATAGAATAAAACAATTACTTCTTGTGGTTCATGAGAAACCAGATGAATAAAATAAGTCCTAGTTTGACTTCCTGATATTTCCTTTGTTTATGTTTATGGTGAAGGATATTGGTAGGCTAGTTCAAGAAATTTTGATTGAGTGGCACTAAAAATTTTCAAGGTTTGAGAAAGTCGTATTATATGTCACCTGTTGCCTGTCCTTATAATTCATCTCATTTATCTGAAACCTTGAATTTCCGTACTATATTTTATTTGTAAAACTGTGTTCTCTGCAATATGATATCATAGTTGAGAAGAATTGATTTCACTTAAGATAACCTTATGCATACATGTTTTGATGCAGGGATTGTGAGATCTGTTTTTTTGGTTGGGTATTATTGACTGTTTACATAGTTGATGGGAGGAGAGATGGTTGCAGAATCTTGGTTTGGTAGTTTGCGGCGGATTTCTTGGAAGAGTGGACCGGAGACTGACAAGGCTGTGATCGGAATTTTGGCATATGAAGTGGCAAACTTGATGTCGAAGTTGGTTTGTATGTGGCATTCCTTAAGTGAAAAGGAGGTTGTTAGGTTAAGGGAAGAGATTGTGTACTCTGTTGGAGTTCAAAAGCTTGTTTCTGATGACGATGTTTATCTTATGGATCTTGCATTTAATGAGATCATTGAGAATTTTGGAAATGTGGCAAGGTCTGTGGCTCGTTTTGGCAAGAGGTGCACAGACCCTGTATATCACCGCCTTGATAATTTCCTTAACGATCCAATTCTGAATAATTTTGAATGGTTTGGGTGGGAATATAAATTGAAGAAGATGGAGAGGAAAGTTAAGAAAATGGAGAGATTTGTTGCAATTGTGATGCAGTTGTCTCAAGAGTTGGAAGTGCTGGCAGAGCTTGAGCAAACTCTTAGGAGAATGCAGGCCAACACTGAGTTAGATCGGGTGAAATTGGTTGAGTTTCAACAGAAGGTAATGTGGCAGCGTCAGGAAGTGAGAAATCTGCGTGAGATGTCTCCATGGGTTAGAACTTACGATTACACTGTCAGACTTTTGGTAAGATCGCTTTTCACATTACTGGAAAGGATAAAACATGTTTTTGGGATTAACCAAATGGCATCAATGGAAGGAAGTAATGATTGTGAACAAAGGAATACTAATTTTCTTTCTCGCAGCCAATCCTTTTCTGCTCCTTTGCAGTCTTTGGTATATCCTTCTGAGAATAATCTTTGTGGGTTCTCTTCAGCACCTCCTGGGAAGTTGGTTTTGAAATCAATTCTGACCACTCACAAGAATAAACCAAATAACAAGCTAGGACAATTCATTCATGAGTCTGATACCGTACTTGAAAAGCTTCCCCATTCAAAATCAAAACGATTGGGTCATGTTGCATCTTTTAAAGGATGTATGATGGGCGGGGCTGATTCTCCAATAGTGGAGAGTTGCAAGCCAAAAGGTGGTTCTATGAGGTTTACTAATGTTTCTATGAAAAACAATGAGAAAATGAGAAATACAAATAAGGGATCACTTTCTTGCAACAGCAAAATATTTTATAAACTCTCTCTCTTGAATTCCAAACATGGGTTGTTGAATGCCCCTCCATCAACTCTTGGTGATGCTGCATTAGCCCTCCACTATGCAAATGTTGTTATATTGATTGACAAATTAGCTTCATCTCCTCACATGATTGGCCTTGACACGAGAGATGATCTGTACAATATGTTACCCACAACTATAAAAAGTGCTCTGAGGGTGAGGCTTAAGGCATATTCTAAAACTTCACCTTCATCTGTGTATGATGCTTCCCTTGCAGCTCAATGGAATTCAGCATTGGATCAGATATTGGAATGGCTGGCTCCTCTAGCTCATAACATGACGAGGTGGCAATCAGAGCGTAGTTTTGAGAAGGAAAATGTGGTTTCCAGGTCAAATGTGCTTTTGGTGCAGACTCTCTACTTTGCAAATCGAGCAAAAACTGAAGCTGCCATTACAGAGCTTCTCGTGGGGCTGAACTATGTCTGTAGGATTGGTAGAGAACTTAATGGAAAGGCTTTGCCAGAGTTTGCTCAAAACAGGGTTTATGATGATTGTCTACCGAAGTGAAAAGACATTACTTACAGTGTATTGTAACTATGATAGATTTCCATGTCTAGTAGGAAGAATGTAACTTCATAAAACTCTACCCTGTTCAAATTGGTTGGTTGGTCCAAGTAATAGGCAACTATTCTATATGACTGCTTGTTGAAGCATCGGAACTTGGAACAGAGAAGGCTTCCCCTGTTTGTCGAGGTACTTTGTGGTTATCAACTCTTTGTATCTTATTTAGTGCAAGGCTTTGTTAGTTGTTTTGTGGTGATGCACATATTCTTTTATTTGTTTGAATAGTATACAAGTTTGGTTCCCTTTTGCCACTTCCTTGTAAATCACTTTGTAGCTTAACAGATCCCAGGAGGCATTTTTAATTTTTATATCACATTTTTAGCATGCTTATAATTTTGCGATCGAAGTGTTACACCACATATATCTGGACCTCAGCCAGTAATTGTTCCTATATGGTTATCATATAGTAATGGTCTGCAGTTTTTTATGTGAATTTGAGCTGTTTTCTTAAATCGCCTCACTGTTTTTAAATAATTGTCGCAATCTCACTGTTTATACATAATTGCCCCAATCTCTCAATATGATTTAGCAATGTATCAAGGAGCAGTAAGGAAAATGAAATTGGCGCATAAGTACGACTCTACCGTGCTGCAAAATGCAAACATCTAAATCTGCCACCTGCCCTTCATGTTTAACACATGATTGTCTATTTTCTTAGCCCATAATTCATCTATACCATTGTTGTGGAATTTGGATTACGGCTTGACCTGGTACGAATACACCCAGAACTTGACCTCTATTGTTTAACTCAGTTGTCACATTTCTGCCCCATTGAAGGATATAAAAATCCTTTGGCATGTCAGGCGAGATCAAGCATGACTGGCCAAGTTAAAATCTGTGATAACGATGATGTTAAAAATGCTGAGTGAGTTAATACCACTTATTTTCACAGAATGCCTCACTACCTCACCATATATTACACCCGTGGAAATTGCATGGCCGTTTTGTTCTGGCACTGGCAATAATAGATTTAGCTAAAAACCAATGTTTTCATACCCGACCCATCACCTGATTGGGTGCCGGGTTGACCGGTTGAACCGGTTCGATTGACAGGTCGTTCCTCACTTCATCATCTTGTATACTTCTATATTAATAAATAATAAAAATTAAAACACATAAATAACAAGAAAACCCAAAGTTGCGCACACCCTCACTCACCTAACCTCTCCCGTCACCCGCAGCCTTGGCCAATCACAGCCTCCCCTTCCTTTCCCCCATCCAACCATGTCGTTAACCACTACCCCACAGCCCATCGTCGATCCTACTTAATCATCGTCAACAGCCTTACCCCACTACAAACAATAGCGGCGACAACCCCACCTCCATCTTGTCGTTGCATGCCCCCACCACCACCCTATGGCACCCCGTACCTCGCCCAACCCACTTTTCTTCCCTCCCCATTGCCCATACCTTTCACAGCCTCATAACTGCCCATCCCATTTTCTTCACATATTTTTTCCTTCAAAAATTTCATGTTTTTGAAATGCTTCGATTAATTTGTTTTGCTGTTTGGAATATTTCATAAATAAATTTCAGGTATGAAATGGAGGATTTCGGGGGTTGATTATGTGGCCGTGTGAGTTAGGCATATGGTGTTGCTTTAGTGTTGTGGGTGGGGATTGTATTGATGGTCTGCTGGGGGAAGGTTACTAGTTGCTTGCGTTAATTGGTCAGGGGAAAAAAGACTGATTTTGCGTGAAGATGAAATGAGAAAAGCTGATAAAGATGAAAGCAAGCTCTCGCTGAAGTGTAAATGAAGAAGTTAAGAGATGATACGAAGAAATCAACGATGAGATGAAGAAATTGACAAATGGAAGAGTGAAAATATGGGTTAGGGCTTGATGGAATGAAAAATTGGGGAAAATCAGTCAAAGAGTCGCGTTTTAGTTAATAAAACCCTAGTTAGTAAATACGGTACGGCAAAAAAACGATATGGAAATTTTACGGGTATAATACGACAAATGGTAAAAAATATGTTTATAAAAATTCGGTTATAAAATTTGGATACAGGAAAAATACAGTACAGGTATATATGAGTTTAATACAGTGCATTATTAATAATACGTTTTAAAAAATACGGTAATATCAATCTTAGTTTTAATATTTTTATGGACTACCTGGTTAAAATCAATATAACATTTTAAATGCAAAGTAGTTAATTAATTAATAACACAAATACATAATATATAAATATAACTGATATTCAAATTATAGTCTCCAGACTCAAACACAATCATAACAAAACCAATTATTTACAAAAATTACAAATACACCCTGTAGTCGGTTTACAAAAATTACAAATGTATCACGTAAAAGCTAAAACTTAAAAGTATATATTTTATTAAATTTTCTCCCTCCTTTCTCTTCTCTTTCATTTTCTCGTTATTTTCAAAACTTTCTACTCTCTTTCTTTGTAAGTTTATTCTCTTATTTCTCTTTCTTTTTTCCACATTCTCTTCACTTCCTTTTTAAAAGTTAAACCTTCGTCTCTTTTGTATGAAGTATAAACTTATGTCTATACAAAAGAGACAAGGTTGTGGAAATTGATTATTTGCTGGAGTTGATTATTGTGTGTTAATTGTGAGAGTTGATTGCTTGTGGAAATTTGTGAGGAAGAAAAGCTGAAGAAGAACTGAGAAAGAAGAAGAACTGAACTGAGGAAGAAGAACTGCTGCTGAACTGCCGAAAAATTGAAGAAGAACGACTGAACCAGTGAACCAGATCTGTTTTAATTTTTTGTATAAACCCACCAAAACGACGTCGTTTTGGGGGTGTGAGATTATTTTTTTTTTTTTTAAAATTCGTGAATAATTCGCGAATTATACGGTACACCTTATTATACGCGAATTATATGACAGATTTTACAAAATTCAGATACGCGCGTTTTATGCGCGTTTTTACTAACTATGAATAAAACATGGGGTAATAGTTGACCCAATTTTTTCCAAAAACCGATTGGACCGGTGGGTTGTTACAGTACCCCGGTCCAACTGAGGATCATTCTCGGTGAAATCATCCCCAGGTTTTATGCCAACCCGACCTAGCTCAGAGGTCAGTTCTCAATCGAACTAGTACAACCAACCAGGTTGGAGCGGGTTTTAAAATCTTGCTAAAAACATGATTTCGATGATATGAGCTTAGGTACGATTCTATTAGAGAATATCAATTTGTAAGATTTAAGTACTAATGTTTAATCTTAATCTTTACCAAATAGATTAAGCCTTTATGTAAAGTGTTAATATATTATCAAAGTCAAACATATTTACCAATTAAAAAATTCACATTTCGTAAGAGAGGGCTTGGTAGACTTAATTATTGATAACTTATTACAATTCTGACAAAATGACCAAATAGATAGAAAATTGCCACAATTCTGACAAGATGACGAAATTCTATATGAAATGGGCAAATAAACTTGAGTTTTGGTCAAATGCATCTGTGCATGTACCACAAGTCAGGCACACTGACAACATGGTTATAAGGTTACCATAATTTTGATGGTTGACATCGATTTTGGATGACCTCAGTCAACTGTAATTGAGCTGAAACAGAGTTAGTTGAACCGTGGGGTTAGGCTGAGTCAACTGTACGCAAGAATTATCACATTTGTCTAAGAAGACATGAATGTGGCAATTCTTTGTATTTGCATCGGGTCGAATAGCACCTTCCTTGACAGGGTTTGCCCTTTCAAGGAATTTACCTTGTCTGATGGCTAGAGCCTTTTCCACATTACTTTGAAAATGAGCCCATTGTTGGTTATGTTAGATAACGTTGACATTAGGGCATGCGAGCGAATCAAATTATTCCTGCTAAAAAAGTAAGAAATAAAATAAATACATGTGCCTCTTGTTTGACGTTATAAGTTAAAAGTCTTCAAGATTTGAAAGAGATGACATGAAATAGAGGAATAAAAAAATAAATAAAAAGAAGAAAGAGACAGAGAGATAATTAAAACAGAAGATATGGTAAAGATCTTGCTAGCCTAGCTACAGGTATTAGCCAAAGATATTGATATGCAAATATGAAATGGTGATATTCTATTTCAGAGAAATTGCAAACATTATTGTGAAATATTTCTATTTTCTTACTTGAAGGATTATAAACATTATTGTGAGATATTTTATTTCCTTACTTAAAGAGATTATAAACATTATTTTGAGATTATTTTTTACTATATCTCTGATTCAAACTAGGGGGCATGTCAAGATCGCTCACTGGTTTTTACAAAAAAATCGGAGGACGACTTATTTCATGGAAAACAAAGAAGCAGTCGACAATCTCTCTTTCATCAGCGGAAGCAATGCATAGAGTCATGGCTAATATCACATGTGAGATCACTTGGATTCTTGGGTTATTAAAAGATCTAGATGTACAAGAAGAAATGACTCTCAACTTGTATTGTGACAACAAAGTAGCAAATGACATTGCGGCAAACCCAGTATTCCATAAAAGAACAAAGCATATAGATATTGAATTTCACTTCATCAGAGGCAAAATTCAAGAGGGCATGATCAAAACCATGTATATTTGAACCTCAGAACAGCCAGTTGATATCTTCACTAGCGTGGGCAAAATTTTAGGGTAGAACCAGAACTGACGAGTACTTGGGTGTCAGTTCTAGTTCCTACCCGGAACCGACCGTAGCAATGTAGGTTCTGGTTCCAAAAAATTGGAACCAATATTGTGCAGTTTCGGATCCGATTCCAAATCAAAGGAACCGGAACCAGGACTGAATTGATATAATATTGAAGAATATGTTTTTTTTTTTTTTTTGTTTTTTTTTATTTTGCATATCATATAAATATATAAGAAAATTTTGGTTTTTTTATCTTAGTATCAAAAGTCTTATTAATTTTCATTAAAATATCAATTTTTCAAAATATTCTTATTAATATTTAAGTTTCACTTATTACTTGATTAAGAAATTAATATACATTAAGACATTTACTTTAAATAATAGCTTTTAAATGTTTATTATCGGTGACAACAAACAATTAAATACTTATAATCAAGCATCAAACATCATGTAAATATAAACAAATATATTATTTAATGTTTTGCACTTAATTGTTAGGGGTGTAATTGTAATTTTATAAGGGTTTATTTGTCATTTTTAAAAAATAGGGGGGTAATGGATAT